CTGGGTGGCTCTGTGGTTGAACATCTACCTTTGGCCCAGGGCGGAACCCTGAGATCAAGACCAGCATCTGGCTCCCTATAAGGAGCTTGCTTCTCCCTCTATGTCTCTGCCCCTCTCTCTGTGTATCCCATGAATGAATAAATAAAATCTTCAAAAAATTAAATAAAATCTACCAAGCCATTGTGTGCCTTTTAATTGGTAAATTCAGTCCCTTTATATTTAGAATAATTATTGAGGGCAGCCCCTGCGGCTCAGCGGTTTAGTGCTGCCCTCAGCCTAGGGTGTGATCCTGGAGTCCCAGGATCAAGTCCCAAGTCAGGCTCCCTGCATGGAGCCTGCTTCTCCCTCAGCCTGTGTCTCTGCCTCTCTCTCTCTCTCTCTCTCTCTCTCTCTCTCTCTCTGTGTGTGTGTGTGTGTGTCTCTCATGAATAAATAAATAATTTAAAAAATAGAATAATTATTGATATATAAGGACTTACTAATGCCATCTCACTGACTTTTGGTAGGTTGATCTGTTGTTCCTAGGGCAGATGGTTCCTTTTTTTTAAATTTTTTTTTATTTATTTACGATAGTCACACAGAGAGAGAGAGAGAGAGTGAGAGAGGCAGAGATACAGGCAGAGGAAGAAGCAGGCTCCATGCACCGGGAGCCCGACGTGGGATTTGATCCCGGGTCTCCAGGATCGCGCCCTGAGCCAAGGGCAGGTGCTAAACCGCTGCGCCACCCAGGGATCCCAGATGGTTCATTTTTTTATGGAATTACAGATTAATAGAATTAGCTGCTTACCTGAGTGACAATGAAAACATATAAAACATTTGAATATAATAATAACCACAACAATAATAAATAATAATAATTAATAATAATGAAAATAAAAACATGGAAATCACCCCATATTCAAAATCTTTTTTTATAAATTTATTTTTATTGGTGTTTAATTTGCCAACATATAGAATGCTCATCCCATCAAGTGCCCCCCTCAGTGCCCGTCACCCAGTCACCCCCATCCCCCACCCACCTCCTTTTCCACCACCCCTACTTCGTTTCCCAGAGTTAGGAGTCTCTCATGTTCTGTCTCTTTTTCTGATATTTCCCACTCATTTTTTCTCCTTTCCCCTTTATTCAAAATCTCTGTTTTTTGGAATAATCATGTGTATATTTTGGAATCAGGACTTAAAATAACTTTATATAGGAAATGTGAATTTATTTATCTTGAATTGTATATTACCATAGTTGATGATATTCACATTTTGCACCCTGATTTCATTAAACGCAGAGAGTGACAAATGGGAGATGCAAAAAGGAGATTTTCCAAGGAAAAGAGAAGCTCAGAGAGGAAACTGATGTCCAAATGGCAGCTGCAGTAGCACATCCCTCCTACTCCTAAAATTGATGCTTTTCTCCTGGGAATAAGGTCCAGAGTTGGAAGGGGAAAAGTCAAAAAGAAACAAGCAGAGATCTGAGAAGCTGATATATTGTTAGATAGATAGATGATGTTAGATAGATAGATAGATGATATATCTCCTAGAATTATGGTAAGCAAAGTAGGTGATCAATTACTATATGTAATTTAAAAGACATATCAGAAAGGGAGACAGAACATGGAAGACTCCTAACTCTTGGAAACAACTAGGGATGTTGGAAGGGGAGGAGGGCGGGGGGTAGGGGTGACTGGGTGGCAGGCACTGAGGTGGGAACTTGACGGGATGAGCACTGGATGTTATTCTGTATGTTGGCAAATTGAACGCCAATAACAAATAAATTTATTATTAAAAAAAAGAGTCAGTGCCCAACCGACAGAGCCACCCAGGTGCCCACTTCCATAATCTTTCAATGTTCGATGGCATCACAGGTAAAATAGCAGGGACTATAATATTTTTCATATGAAGATTTTAAATTCCATCTTTTTAATTATACAGGAATATTAAAATGTAACACTTTTTATTTTTAAAAAAAGACACTACTGTAAAATCCACTTTCTTAAAAAAATCTTCCCTTCCAGTTTTCTTCAGTGTCTTTCTCCCTTCCATTAAAAGTAAGGAAGGGGCACCTGGTTGGCTCAGTGGTTGAGTGTCTGCTTTTGGCTCAGGTCATGACCCTGGGGTCCTGGGATAGAGTCTAACTTCAGGCTCCCTGTGGAAAGTCTGCTTCTCTCTCTGCCTATGTCTCTGCCTCTCTCTGTGTGTCTCTCATGAATAAATAAATAAGTAGATAGATAGATAAAATCTTTTAAAAATAAATAAAATAAAAATTAACAAAAAATGCAGACAGTGCAATTGTCTCTGACTCTGTCTCTACCTTTCTCTGTGTGTCTCTCATGAATAAATAAATAAAATACTTTTAAAAATAAAATAAAAGTAAGGGATTAACACTTTGATTTTTCGTTTATCCCTAAAACTTGAATTCAGATAGCCCTGGGCAAGTTAATATTAAGCTAACATTAGTCATAGCACCTTAGTATGAATAGATTGATCAGATTACTCCCTAGAAGAACAAAGAAATAGGACAAAAGGAAAAACATATTGATGGGGAAGAGGGGTAAATAAGTTACAACACAATACAAACCTAGATGGGTAGACCCGGGGAGAAGTGGTGGTCCTAGCTAAGCAGCATAAGAATATAGGACACTTGTCATCTCCTCTAATGTCGTAAGTGATCTGCAAGGGCTTCTGGGCCACCTAATAAGTGACCACTAACTCCTTTAACCATTCCTCGAAGAAATTCATTAATGTCCTAGAAATATTTCCTCTCCCTTTTAAAAACGAAAATAGACATTCTTAAAATAATGTTAATACATTAATAAAATTAAATCTCTGGTATCCCAAAATGATCCTAAAAAGTATAATCTATGCTAATCTGAAAAAATAGTAAACAAATATAATATGGACAAGACTCTTCCATTATAAGAACCCACAAAATTATTACTTGTGATCCCATTACAATGCTAAATTATATTCAAACACAAAGCACTATTAAATCAAACAGACCAGGGATCCCTGGGTGACGCAGCGGTTTGGCGCCTGCCTTTGGCCCAGGGCGCGATCCTGGAGACCCGGGATCGAATCCCACATTGGGCTCCCGGTGCATGGAGCCTGCTTCTCCCTCTGCCTGTGTCTCTGCCTCTCTCTCTCTCTCTGTGACTATCATAAATAAATAAATAAAATTAAAAAAAATATTTAAAAAAATCAAACAGACCAGACATGGTTACAGTTACTCTTTTTAAAACACAATATAACACTCATTTAGAATTCATATAACACATCAAAATATGTATCTTACAATGAATTATAAGGAGATAAATACACTTGTTAGCAGCACAAAGTCTGTTTTCTAATAAGATATTATTTTAATAACAAAGTACAAGCAAAATCAATACTTTTCTAGAGAAAATATTAGAAAAATTTCCATTTCTCTAAGATATTAGAATTGATTTTGGTTTTATCATTCCCCCCATTCATATTAGTATCATAACTGTGTGGCTAAAACAACTCCTTGTCTATAAAAATATGTTGGAACCTTTGTTGATTTCCACATTCCTCCAGATGAGAAGTAGCATGTATCTTTATTATATAGCACACAGATTTTATGTAGATCATTGTTTTAAATTAGAGCATTTTGCAAAAACATGTTTCAAAGTACTGTAATATTTTAGACCTCAGATTTAATTATGAATCATATCTTGGGTCTGCTACTTGCATACTAGTACCAAACTAGTACTAGTATACTGCTACAGGTAGCAGATAAATAACTGTAAGGGGAGTCCAATGCTGCCAAAATTAATCTTTTGCAGTTTTTTTTCTCCCAAAATGTGAAAGAATCTCCTTCCATAGCTGCTAGGAGGTAGGCTGTGCATGACTCACAATGGTATGACTCGGGTAAAGCTGGACCAGAAAAATTTCTGAAGGTCCACAAATTTCAATGGTCCACATGCCTAGCTGCCTTCAGTCCATGAAGGTGACTTGACAGTTGCCACTTAAATTAAAGAAATAAATACAAAATGGTGAGGCTTTTAAAAGGTGTACCCATCTCTTCATCTTTTTTCTCTGGCCTAAGCTTAGTAATTAATTAGTGCACTGCTTCTTTCATAGGCTCAAAAAGTGCAGTAACCTGTCAGAGATAGTCAATGTTACTCTAGGAGCATGGTGAAAACTCTTTGTATTATTCAGGTCCATATATTTCAATACATATTCTTTGGAAATAGTTTAAGAGTACTGGAACTGTGATTATCACTTATCTGCTGTCTCCTGGACCTATAGAGACAATTTGGGTCACATTGTATGTTCTTTGGTGAACTATTTGGCTTGGGTGGATTCAGTATGACATCTTATACAGTCCATAGAGGTTACTGTATGTGAATTGATTTCTTGTTATTACTTTAAATATAACAGAGGCCGGAGTTCAGATTTTCATTTTATGAACAGGTGTGATAGATGATGTTTCATATTGACAATTAAATGAAGGAAATAGTTATTTGAGTCTTCAAATCCTGGATTATAATCACATATGGGAGATAAAAATGGTCCCATGTTTATATCACTTTCTTTTCACAGAATAACATATTGTCCATCCTACTTAAAATACAATCAAAATATGATGTTTGAATATAAACTGTGGCTACTAGTATAAAAAGACAAACTACATTGCCTCTAAATACAGAGACTCAGTGTCCATTGCAGCAAAACTAAGTGCTTATGATGAGCCCAAGCTGATAGTCTCCGGTGTCTTAGGTTCACATAAAACTGATGACTCTGAGTACATATATATAGAATGCCACTGAAGTTTTACAGTTTAATTCCTGACTTGATAACAAATTATTACATGGACATGTCAACATGTGATGGTGGAATACAGTGCTTTAAACAGTTTCCTCATATAGGTGAAATAGAGCATAACTGAAAAGTCGTCAGTGCTCCCTGTGATTACTTTCCAGTGGCTTGTGATATTACAAATACCTTCTGATATACTTGCATTTCAGATAACATTCAGGTTTTGTTTTAATTTAGCATAATTCAGTGGTATGGTTGCTTACAAAGGATTTTGCATGGAGTTGGATGCTATCTTGTCTTGAAAGTCGTCTTCTGAACTCATTAGTGGTGAAGTAGTATATGACTGGGTCAAGACAGGAATTCATACTAGCAAGACAGAGAGCAACTGAATGAAATATTAGAATCACCCTTCTGGCTAGGCAGCTTTGAATTTTGTTGGACTTGACCAGGAAATCCAAAGGAAAACTGAAGTGATAAGGTGCAAAGCAAATTAGGAATACTCCTGCACAGGTTAGAATCATCTTCAAGGCTTTCTTTTTCTCCCCAAGGTCTTGGGCCACAGGATATTTATCATGCAGTGATAAAACTGTCTTCCAGGTACAATATAGGACAATCAGAAGAGGAGTGACAAACCCAATCAACTCGCCAATGGTCATCATGGCAATATACTGGGCCAAATTGACGTTCCTGGTAGGAAGATCCACAAAACATTTGGTTCTGTTACCTGCAGTGTCATCACTGGTTCTGAGGAGAGGAAAGAGAAGACAGGCAAGGCAGATGATCAACCAGCCAGCAATGCTGATATATAGGTCATATTTCTGTTTGCAATCATGGAAGCGAAAGGGATATATAAGAAACAAAAACCGTCTCACGCTTATGCAGACCAAGAAGTAGATGCTTGCATACATGTTGACATACTTCAGGTAGAAACAGAACATGCAGAGGCCAGGCCCAAATGGCCAGTCATGATTTAAGTAGTAAAAGATCCTCAGTGGCAGGGAGAGAACTTGTAGTAAGTCAGCAATGGCTAAGTTTATCATGAATATCACAGCCCGTTTGGTTTCTTTCATATAGCCATAAAATACCCATAAGGCTAATATATTCCCTATGAGACCTGGCACAAGAATTACAGTATATGTCACTGCATAGATAAAATATCGAAAATCTGTCTTGTCCCCATCTGGCCCAGTACACGTGACATTAATAGGCATGTTTCTTTCCAGAACAACTATCTTTGCTAAATGGTGGATCAAGTAAGTCAATCGGAGAAGGACAAACAGTGTATGTTCTCATTCATTTGGGGAATATGAATAATAGTGAAAGGGAATATAAGGGAAGGGAGAAGAAATGTGTGGGAAATATCAGAAAGGGAGACAGAACATAAAGACTTCTAACTCTGGGAAATGAACTAGGGGTGGTGGAGGGGGAGGAGGGCGGGGGGTGGGGGTGAATGGGTGACTGGCACTGAGGGGGACACTTGACAGGATGAGCACTGGATGTTATTCTGTATGTTGGTAAATTGAACACCAATAAAAATTAATTTATTAAAATAAAAAAAATAAATGGTGGATCAAAACAGAAATTCACGATCAACTGCTCCTCTTTCTAAAGACTTTTTATCAATGGGTTGTAGAGAGTGAGAATAAAATAACCTCTTTGTTACTTCATTGGTCTGAGCCTCTACATAATTTGGAAGACTTTCAAAGAAGTATTTGCATATTTGCCTTGGATTTTTTTATAGTAATCACACTCAAGTCTAATGTGCAAGCACCGATTAACAAACTATTATAACTTTTCTCTCTTGTTTACTGTTATAAGGCCTTCTGGGATATCATGACAGTTGATTCTCTCCCATTTGGATTATGAATGTGCCACACAGCAGCTCTTCGAATTTCCATATGACGATAGGCATCTCTTTACAGGTGTTTGACAGCAGTTTTTTTTTTTCTGATTTTTGGCTCACATAGAAGGAAGGTTTTGTTTAGTACTCAGTGAGTCCGCAGTTCTTCAGAGGTGATTAACTTGGATACATCAGCTTTCTGAGACTTTTTCAGTTAGGTGTTGAAAGCTAAAAAATGGGAAGCAAAGGCAGAGCTGCAAGTGAAAAAACAAACAAATTATTGTCTGGCACTTTTGCAAAAAAAGAAAGAGCCTATGTGTACAAAAATCTATTCATTTGAATGGAAAATTCTGATGTAAGTGAGGGTGACAAGCCAGTTTCTGTAAATTACTTTAGAATCACAGGAAAGTATAGCTAGAAGTAACCTCAAAGGTAATGTAGTCTGTGTCTTGAACCAACTTTAAGAGCTTTTTAGAAATGCTGGGGACTCTCAGGGCCCACCCAGGACCTGTTGAAACAATCTGCAGTTTAACGAAAGCGACATGTGATTTTTATGCATATTTACATTTGAGAGGCTCTGATTTAGATCACTGATTCACAAACCACATTGATTGTCAGACTCATCTGATGGAGTTTTTTAAAAAAAATCAACTTTCTATAGCTTTCCTGGTATCTCCTCTGGAGATTCTGATTCAGTATATAAGCCCCAAATTTGTACTTTTTAAAACCTTTCCACATGATTCAGATATAGTCAACTGAGCATTCCTCCTTGAACCATCATTATAGAGGCTACTAAGTTGATCAGAATCCTTCTCAGATGTCTGAAAATAAGTGAGCAACCAGCCTCTCTTGAAATACTGCATTAACATGGGTCATTTAGTCATCTCTTAAATATCCTGGTTAACAGACCATAGTACCAGTAGAGAGAATCAAAATCCCAAGGTAATTGATTCAGCTGGAGTTTTGTTCTGTGGTGAACAAATTTTAGCTTAGGGACTTGAATAGTTGCCTTAAGGCTGCTGCAATTCAGGAAGGTTTAACTGACTTTAAAGACGTGGGAAAAACAAAAATGGAATAAGAATTATGAAACATCCTGCTTTATATTATCAAATGCATTGTGCTTTAAAGTGTGCTTTAAAGTGCTTCCTGCTATTGAAAGAATTGTTTTGTTAAATTTTTTTGACTCAATTGCTTAATAAGAAAAATAGCACATTTTGTTCAAAGATATGGTGCTCATTTTAACTAAAAGACCTGATGAATGATATCTTAGGTAAAGACAAAGTAGATAGATGACATTATAATATACAAGGAAGCACAGCTGTAAAGAATACCATAGATATTGAAAGTGATTAAAATTAGAGGTTGTTTAGTTCTAAAACTGAAATACATCTTTATAATATTTACAGAGGTAGTGATTTTGCATAGGTGGCAGGCAAAATAGGGTGGCAGATCAAACAATCAAAAGCCCTTGGTTTTCAACCTTCTTTTAACTATACAGTAGTCATGGTCTTCTAATGTCACTGAATAGACATTAGAAGTTTATACAACTATACATCCAGTCAACCTCCATTGAACATCCATTTTCCCTTGTGGGCAATGACTCTCAAATTTATATTTCTTTTACGCTGTAGCTCTCTTTCCAACTTTATATAAGAACTCTTCTCTTGAAGAGTTATCACCTCAAAATTCAATCTATGAAAATAAAATTAATATTTGTTCAAAATATGTCTTATCTTGTCAGATTATGTCATCTCTTTGATAAAAAAAATCTAATGTTTTTTTCTCCTCTTACTTAGAAGAAAGATCAAAGTTATTTACAATGGCCTACATCTCTGGGGTGCTTGAGTGTCACAGTCGGTTAAGCTTCTGACTCTTGGTTTCACCTCAGGTCTGATCTCAAGGTTGTGAGATCAAGCCCCATGTGAGGATCCATGCTCAGTGCAGAGTCTGCTTGGGTTTCTCTCTCCCTCTCCCTCTGCCCCTCCTCTCTCTACCTCTCTGTTTCAAATAAATAAATAAATATTTTTAAATGGCCTAATCTGTTTTTTAGTTAGTAATTTTTGTCTGTGTCCTTTTTATGCCTCTCTTTTCCTGCTTATTCCACCCTACCATAGCAAGGCCAGAAATTCTTTGAAGTCAGAGGTTGGGGTTTAGACACCTTTATATCCCCTGGAGCACCCAGAGATATGTTTGGAATGTGATGGATTCATCCAATATTTATTCAGCAAATATTTATTCAACATCTGCCATTTGCCAGGCACTGCTCTTGATATGAGGATAGAGTGGAAAAGGGCACATGATTTCAGTCTTCATGGACCTTATTTTCTAGTGAGGCAGAATGATAATTGCCATACAATATTTAAAAAGTGTGTTTGTAGGCAATCTACAGCATACTCTATAGGACAAATGAAGGTAAACTAAAATATTAAGAACATTTTTCCTTAAGTGAAGTGAAATCAAAGCTATGACTACCCTCCCAAAGTCTATAATCTTCCTATTGGTCATTCTGTCATTGGGCACATTTTAGTGCATTTTCATATGTATATCCTAGCCTGTAACCTCAAAATGCTTCTGAATAGAATATATACTTTACAATTCCTCTGGCTTCCTCTGGGAATGTTGATGATGATTTCCCTTTGTTTAAAAAACATTATTTTCTAGTAGGAAAAGTTGCTTGGGGTGACTGAAAAAGCTTTCTTTCGTGGGAAAAAAAAAACTAGTTAAAGCCCATGTTTTAGAATGAATATAAACTCCTCAGTTTTTAAAGAGTGATGGAGACAAAAAAATAAAGGAAGCATTTTTCTTCAGAACATGACACTATTTTCTGAGATTTTCCTTTCTTAGGAAAGAAGTCCATATCATCTCAGACACAGAAAGAGACTCCAGTTTGAATGAGGTATTTATTTAAAGAATCATGCCAGCATCTTTGTTCAAATTATTTTTTGCTATCAGGAGACTAATCTTCTTTAATTTTACATACTTCCTTTTGGGAAGAAAAAAAGAAGAGAAAAACATGAAACTAATGGCCCAAATCTGGCCTGATCCCCAGCAATCTACACGTCAGAAACTATTTCATATGGAGTCCTCACGGGAAGTTATTATCTTCATTTACAGATATTTATGTTCATCCAAACCTGAAGCTTTACTAAATTTCACTCATGATATGGTTCAAGAGTATTTTCCAGCAATATTTTGCCTTTGGTTGCTTTTCCAGGAAAAGCGTGATTCAAATGAATATCAGGGATAACTTTTTGTGTTATTTTACTGGGACTTCTTCTGAACAAGTTACTATTATCTATGAAGGTGCTAGACTTTTACCCATCAAAATCTGTTTTTGTATTTTAATAAATAAAGTGAACAACTGGGGTGCCTAGGTGGCTCAGTCCATTAAGTGTCTGCCTTCAGATCAGGTCATGATCCCAGAGTCCTGGGATCAAGCTCTGCACCTTGGGCTCCCTGCTCAGTGGGGAGCCTGTTTCTTCCTTTCCCTCTGCCGTTCACTTGTGCTTGATTTCTCTCTACTTCTCTCTTTCTCTCAAATAAATAAAATATTTTTTTAAAAAAGAAAGTGAACCATTAAAAATATTAGATCATCAAATGACCTAATTTTTAATGGTGGTCTTCGAGCCATATTAGGGGCAAGTAAAGACTATATTTTGGGATGTGAAACTCTGCCCAGCAACCATCCAGTCATAGGTCATAGGCAACTACTTACCCAAAAGCCAATTTTATTTTAGAGTTCTAGTTAGGTTTATACTTTAGTAAGCCAATAAAAGGCAGATCTAGTGCTTCAAGTGACTGCAAATGATGTGGGACTGAATAAGGTGTGTACATGTGTGTGGGAGGCAAACGTTTGTTCCACTATAATTCATAAGTAATCACAAATATTGAATGCAAGAGAGCAAAACAATTTCTTCCTGATTTTTATCAAGACACAGCATATATCAGGTGTCCTTTTTCACTTTTAAAAATCTTCAAAGTCAAATACTTTATAATCTTTCCAGAAAACCTGTCTGGCAACTGCAACTAGGTAAAGAGCTGACTACAACACAGTACACAAATACTTTAGAAAGTCTTTCCTGGCTAATCCTCCTAGGGAATTTACCAGTTCTGTCCTACTGAAAATTTAATCATAATTTTTATTTTAAAGAGGTGTGTTCTGCTTGGATACTACATTCAATTAAGGCTTCCAATTTCTCTTATATTTGATAACTCTTATGATTCCTTCATAAGCCAACTTCATAAAGAGGAGGAAGTAACTATGTTTGGACACACAATGTAGTTACTGTGGGCATTGGCAGTTTGCCAGTAAGTTCTTCCATTTGCCTCAGTCTAAATGTCTTTGCAGAGTTCTGAAGCCCATTTCCTCTT